TGCCCTGCACGCCGAACACCAGCGCGTTGATGAAGGTGAGCCCCATGAGCGGTGAGCCCAGGCCCTTATACAGGCCCAGCACCTGCGGGGCAGAGGGGCGTCAGGTGCCCACCCCCTACCTGGGGCCTGGGCAGCCCAGCCTACCTCCCCTGGGAATCTGCACTGCAGGTGGGGCAGCCCTAGCCCACCCCATGTTTCCTAAGGATCAAACAGCCTTATTAGAGCCAGAGCCCCGAACCTGAGCGTCCTGGGCATTCACACCATCCCATTTCCAAAGTCCCGATTCCCCCAACAGGTTCCCGGCTCTTCCCCGCCCCCGCCCCCCCCCCCAATGCCCCCGGCCCCCAGCTACTCACGCTCTCCTGCTTGATGATGGACTGGAAGCAGTGCAGGGTGCCTCGGTACTGGGGCTTCTCCAGGCTCTGGACCTGAAGCCTCACCTGGAAGGAGGGCCCGGTGAGCGGTGGGCAAGCCAGGGACAGAGCGCCCAGCTCCACGGCACCCACGACCAGGGCAGAGGTCAGACCCACAGGGCAGGGGGCTGCGCAGCTAGCTCTCTGTGGCTTTTGGAAGGTGGGATGAGGCCAGGTGTCCGAGCCTCTTCAGGGAGGGGTATCAGTGAGCAATCAGCCAGAGACAGCCAGCTGCACTGGACGACACCCAGAGGGGCAGGGGCCCCCCCGACCTGAGACGGGTAGAGGCTAAGTGTGAACAAAACCAACTCGTCTCTGTGACCTCACTGTCCTTAGCAAGGAGGGCAAAGCCTGCTAGGTGGGGATGATGACCCGTGTTCCTTAAAGTGTAGCCATGGGGGACAGCATGACAACCGAGATAAAGATCAAATTGGTGGTAGTGTCAATGATACGCTTCTGACCCCTGGGTCTGGGGTGAAACGCGGCCCAGGGACACGTATCTTACAATATCTAGAATGGAGAGCTTTAAGGTTTGGGGAGTCAGGAGCTCCTTTAGGACGAATGGCCCCGCCCTGGAAAAGTGGTCATTCTCACACAGGCCCAGGAAGACATCTGATCCCGGGGGCGGGGGGGAATGACTTTTCTCAACCAGCCCCACCCAGGCCCCCAACCCAGGACCTGTGCTATGCCCTAGTGCCCCTCCTGCCCCTGCTAGGCCCACAGGGAACTTGGGGGTCAGGCCCAAGGTCTGGTTCAGGGAGGACAGAAATGTGGGGTTCACCTGGTCTCTGGGTGAGGCTTTGGCTCCCTTATAACAGAGTTACATTTTTGCTCAGGGTGGAGCCAGCTCCAGCTCAGGAAGGAAAGGCGGTTAGAGCAACACAAAATTTCAACATCGCATGCGGGCCTATCCCCTGCCCTGGGAAGCCATGCCCTGGCAAAGGTGTCCCCGGTTACTGTCATGTCCCTGGAGTCTAAGGACAGAAACCCACCCTCATGTGAGGGCAGTGTGGCCGAAGACGGTGGCTGTGGTTCTAGGCTCCACAGAGGGAAACCAAATTTCAGTCTCCAGGGTCTGGAGGAATAAACTGGGAACGTCCCTGCTGTGAGGCAGTGTGACTGACACAGAACACAGGCGTCCCCTCGCCCCTCTGGAGCCATGGGGCGGGGACTGTGGTCTTTTTCCTTTTAGTTTATATGTCTCTATTACGGTTAAATTTTTTTACAACTTGAATTACTTTTGTAACGGAAAGCCAACCAAAAAAATGTGTGTGTACCTGATGACTAGACACAGAAACGTCGCCTGCCCCGGGGAAGGCCACGCAGGGGGTGGAGGGCAGGTTGGTCTGCTGGAGGAAGTCATTTGCTTTTCTACATTTCCCAATTTTCTTGTAAGAAGAGTGTTTAACTTTTATAATGGAAAACAGCCAGTAAAAAAATGAAGCCATTATAACATTAAATTAAACCACAAGAGCACTCCACGCCCAGCACCATCTGAGCCCTGGGCGGGACAATACGGTCACGGAAGGTGACGACTGAGACAGGTTTCTCCCCTTTATAAAAAAACTCAGATTTTAAAGACAGTTTGCCCAGATGTGATGCTGGTGGGGGGAAAAAAAGTCACAGATTTGCTCCCTCTAGGTGCCCGGTAAGGGGGTTTCAGAGAGCATTAACCCAGGAGGTGGAGAAGCTCCTGCACCCCACTTGCTGCAGGGGGTGCTTGTCCGGCTCAGGAGCCAGAGGGGGCAGGGATGCCAGGACCAGGGCTCTGGCCTGAGGGACCCAATGGGAGCCTGCAGGCCTGGCCAGGCCTGGGCTGAGTCACAGCTCAGAGCCACTTCTTGGCTGGACGCAGCTTCAAGAGGCCTTTACAACACGTGACCACAAGATATAAACACAGCACAGCGTGGACACTGCCAGGCTGGCCTGGGCTGCCTGGCTGTGGACAGGCTTCACAGGCGGTCAGCTGAGCAGAGCCTGGGCAGCCGTGTGGACACACGCCACCAGGGCCTCGCTCTCCGTGGCCCTCAGGGAACTCAAGGGCCGCGGTGTGGCCAGAAAGCCTGGCCCTTCGGCCTCCTCCCCGGACCCGCCCGCAGCGCGATGGGAGGAAATCTGTGCTCTTCGGGACTGGCCTCTCCCCACATCATCTACACCGTGCGCCGGTCTCCACTGGGGCCCCAGGAATCTTGCCCAACCCCTCACTGTGCAGACGGGCCCACGGCACTGCGCCGACCAGCGGGAGGGAGACCTGGCCCTGCACCAGGCCCAGGGACAGACCTTTCCCAGGAGCCAGTGCATTCGGCGGGGCCCCAACATCTCTGCTGCAGGACACCCAGCCCCCAGCTCGCAGGTCCTTTTCCTGGCAGAGGAACACCTGGGTCCGGAAACAAGGAGACCGGAAGCCCGCCTCAAACCAGCGAAGGGGAAGTGCTTGCCTGAGCTCTGCCCTCCCCCCGTGGGCAGTGTTCACAGGGGACAGGTCTGCCCTGTGCCCGGCGTGTACAACAGCCACCCTGGCTCCCGGGTGAGCAGATAAGGTAGGGCCTTGACTTGGCTAGTTCAAGGGCGTGAAACCCCAACCACATGGAAAATCTGAGCTGGAACCTCTGGAGGGAGGACGTGGATTTGCTTGGTTTCTGCTCTGAGGCGTCGGAGAACCTGGAACTCGGGTTTCTCGGGGAGCAGGGCTTGCTGCGTGCCACCCGCCAGCACCGCGCAGGTGTGCACCTGCCCTGGGAAACGCTCACCAATGTCTTGACAATGACAGTCACCTTCCTGGGGAATCCTGACGAGTTTGGGTTTTTTTGTATTTCCGTATTTTCTCCCTGAGCTTTTCTTTCCTTTAGGAAGCCGTCTGGAGTTGTTTTGCAAGAACAGTTGGGATCCCTGCTCTCGGCGAGGGGAAACCGCCCCCCTCCCCCCACAGACGGACCTGGACGGGCCGCCCCCGCTGGGAGACCAGGAGGCCCGGCCCACTCGGCTCAGTGGGTAAGTGGTCGCCCATCTGGCGTCACAGAGACCCACACTCCACGTTACTCTAGAACAGTGGTTCTCAACCTTGGCTGCGCATTAGAATCACCTGGGAATGTTTTTAAAATCCTGATTTCTGGGCCTCGTCCTCCAGAAATTCTGTTTCTTTGTTATGGGGTGGGGCCCCAGCCACCAAGACCCTGCAGGCTTCTGTCCTCTGTATGGGCCTCCACCGGGCCTGACACTAAGACCACGACACGTGACTCACCTTGACCGTGTCAAATGGGTGTCCCACCAGCACGCCTGCCACACCTGGAAGAAGAAAGGGGGACTTGAGACCCAGATATCTCAGACACCCGCAGTGGGGGGTGGAGCTATGGGAGGCCGTTACTTGCTGTGCGCCAGGCTCCTCCGGGAGCCCCTTAATCCTCATGGCTGGAGGATGAGGGAGCATGTGAGGGTGACATCCCCAAGGTCACGCCAGGATCTGTCCAACTCAAAGCTGGTGTCTCCCCCTCACCCTGCTGCTCACGCAGCTGAAACAGAAGATGTCCCCTGGGGGCTGCATGGTCCCCCTGCTCCAAACACCCCTGGCATTGGCAGGGGACTCCAGAAACTTTGGATGTGGACCCTCACTCAGAATTGGGTTTCTCCTCTGTCACCAGCTGGCCGAGCTCACAAAGGGCTCAGTGTCTGAGCCTCATCTCCGAGTCAGTCCCGGTGTGAGCACCGACTTCCCCCAGGGGGTTCCCGGGAAACACCCACCCAGGACCTGGGGCATGGCTAGTGCCGGCTGACCACTCCCTTCCCGAGTGGGAGTCGCCTGATACCCAGGGAACAGTTTGTGACTGTGATCGTGCCTGGTGGCGTGTCGGCCCCGGCCCTGCCAAAAGCCAGCCCCCTCGGGGACAAAGGCTCACTGACACTTCTGAGTCCTGAATGCTGTGCAGATTGCAGACGCCTTGTTACCCCACCTCATGGCGGAAATGCTGAGGTTCAATGAGACTGAGTAACTGCCGCGCTTTCCTCCCTAGAATTTTTTTAAAATGTTTTTATTGGTTTCAGAAAAAGAGGAAGGGAGAGAGAGAAAGAGACATCGATGTGAGAAAGAAACAGCGATCAGTTGGTTGCCTACCATACACACACCGAGAGGGGGATGAGCCTGCAACCCGGGCATGTGCCCAGGCCAAGAATCGAACCTTGGTGCAGGGGACGATGTTCAACCCAGTGAGCCACACCAGCCAGGGCTTCTCCCTAGAATTTTATGCGTGTACATCCTAGAGTCCTTTTACTGCCAGGAGTGTTTACGTATAATTAAAACAGCTAACATGTTGCGTTTTTGCCTGCTGGTTAGTATTCTTAGTTTTGTACCTATACTAGTTCTCTCTCTTAATACCTATACAGAAAGGACTATTCGCCCATTTGATGGATGAGGAAACTAAGGCATGTAACATGTCCACGCCACACAGCTAGAAATGGCGAAGCTGGGCCCGGCTGGTGTGGCTCAGTGGTTGAATGTCGACCAATGAACCAGGAAGTCACGGCTCGATTCCTAGTCAGGGCACATGCCTGGTGTTGCAGGCTCAGTCCCCAGTAGGGGTTGTGCAGAAGGCAGCCGATCAATGATTCTCTCTCATCACTGATGTTTCAATTTTTCTCCCTTTCCCTTCCTCCCTGAAATCAATAAAAAATATATAAATTAGAAATGGTGGAGCCAAGACTCAAACCCTATAACCCACTGGGAAATGCCCCCAGGAATCCAGCTCTTCTGCAAAAGCCTTTTTTTTTTAAGGCCGCCAGGGAATGGTTCTGTGTCTGCTGAAGTTCTGGGGCGAGGGGCGAAGGGGGCGGCGTCCCAGAAGTCCTCTGGCTTCCAGGCTTTTTCTGTGTCAATAATTGATTTATTCAGACAGGAAGGCTGAGATCTTATCGTGGACTTCAGGAATGTCACTGGGGATGCCAAGGGCGTGTGCCTTTCGTCTTCAAAACAACCCTGCCTGGCACTGCACCAGCCCTGTCACTCTGCAGATTCACCTTTTTGTGATCAGAGAAAATTTCCACTTTCATTTACTCATCACAGTCGCCATCGCCAGGCCTTTCCTCCTGCTGGAGCCCTGACACTCACAGGTGGCCGAGGAGACCTGGCTTCCACAGCTGTGTTTTTGGTCCTGAGACACACTTAGCTTCTGTAGTGTGAGAGCAGCCTTTTTTCTTTTTTTCCATTTCATGTTTTGAATTTGAAAATCCTAGATCTAGAGCCTCTTCTTGGGCTGTAGCTGGATTCGGGGGTTTGGACACCTAACACTTGCCCGTGGCGTGCTGTTTGGCCTTCCTTCTGCCTGCGGCTGGGCCCCCCAGCCCACCAGGCTCCTGATGGCCAGGCCCAGCCTCGGGCTCCCAGGGCTGCAGGTGCTGGGAGCGCTGGAGGTTCCCTCCCTGTGGGAGAGGTCCTGCCTCCGGCTCCGGACTTGTCTCAGCCTCTGGGATGGGAGGGGCAGACCCTCACCCACCGGCCTCTGCTGGCAGGTCCCAGGCAGCGTCTCCGAGGGCAGACACCTGCATTCCCACTCGCTCCCTTGACTGGTCTCAGCGCCCTCGCCCAGAACATCTGCAGGCACAGAGTGGGCCGCAGGGCCTGCCTGCGTCAGGGCCTCAGGCCCCCAAAGCCTCATCCTGTTAACCTCACAGCCACCTGAGAGCCAGGAGGCCTCGTCAGGCCATCTCCCTGAGAGGACCCTGTCTCCCAACTCCAAAGCCAGTGCCCCCTGCCCTACAGAAGCTGGACTCGCAGGGACACCTCCCACCCCATGACCGTCCAGAGAGGTGGAGGGAGCCACCATCCTAAAGGCACCTGGCAGCAGGGGTGGTGGGAGGGGTACCTGTCCTCCCACAGGGCGTCCCCCTATCCACGTTGAACTTCTCTCTGCACTTCCTCCTATCCATGCCTCCGGCAGGGAGACCCCCAACCAGAGCCCAGGGTCTAAGCAGGCAGAAGACCTGAGGCTGGCCCCCTGGCTGGAGAGCAGGCCGGCATACTGAGCCTTCCAGGGCCCCGAGGTTGCTGTCAATCACGGTCCTGCCTGGCCTCTCCCACCCTCAGACCAACAACCTGGTGGGCTCTGTCCCCCCGACTGGGGAGTCAGAATCCAGGGACCCCGGCCACTGAGGAGAAGCTCCGACCTCACCTGCCCTGAGCCTCTAGGCCTTGAGGAGCCAGACAGAGACCTCTGGGGGGGCCAGGATCTGAGAGGGCGGTGTCACCTGCACATGGTTCCTGCAGCCGCCCTGCAAGGGCCATGCCATGCCAGGGGCCACGGTGGCCCTGGCACACAACCAGGTCACTGTTGCATGGGTTAAAGGGGAGAGGACTGCCCTTGCCTGCTCTGTGGTAGGAGCGGGCAGTATGATTTTGTACGCGTCCCTCCACTTCTCATACTGACCCTTTGCACCCCTCCCGGCAGCTCCTTCCACCCTCGTCCTCCTGGGAGGCTCAGGCCTCGGCTCACACAGCAGGGAGGTAGGTGGGCACCACCCACCCTGTGCTTGCATGGGGACCCCAGTGGACAGTGGGGGGCTGCTGGTGAAGCGCCTACAGCTCAGCAGGCCGCTGGCCCCCGGGGCCTGGTGAGGACGGGCCTAAAGGCATTCCAGGAAGAGGCGCCGCCTGAGCCAGAGCCCAGAGTGACTGGGCGTCTCTAAGCAGGCCTGGGACAAGGATTCCTACCCCGAACCCCAAACTCCCAGGACACCTGCAGGAAAACAGAAGGAATCCTGCCCCTCTGGGGAGAGAACCCATGTTCCCCAAGAAGTTGGAAAGGGGCATTGGCCCTGGGACAGCCCCCCCTCTGGAGCCACCTGGGACTGCACACCCACCAGGGCCTCTAGGGAAGGCAGGCTTGGACCCAGTGTCAAGGCCCAGCTCCAGAGGCTTCTTGAAAACTCTGGGGTTTCTACCCGCTTTTGAGGCTCTAGTCTGTGGTTTCCTGAGGCCTGACTGGGTAACAGTCTGGTAAATTCTTAAATCCCTTCCCACACACCACACTCCCTTCACCAGCCTTCTCTCTTAAGGCACGCCTCCTCCTCCGGGGCGCCCATCACTGGCAGGTGCTGGAGGGGAGAAGCCGGAGGTCAGAGCTGGACTGGGCCCGGGACACCCAGCCAGCACTCTCTCTGCCCAGGAGGCAGGGCCTGCCAACTCATCGCCAAATTCCCATGGCGAAACCTGGCTCCCAGTTAATACCTGTTGAGTAAATTAACTCTCCTCCAAGTAAAAGCAGAGAAGCTAAAAGCCAAACAGGCAGGGCCACAGCAGACCCGGGACTGCACACCCACCAGGGCCTCCAGGGAACGCAGGCTGGGACCCGGCGTAAAGGCCCGGCCTCGGGGAAGGTGTCCCACGCGGGGAGACACGTCCACGTAAGCCCAAGAGCTAGCCACAGGGCGTCAGGCCACTCTGCCACTCGGGTGGAGTCCGCCCCCCAGCAGCCCACTGACGGAGGCAGGAAGGGGGCAGCGTGCCAAAGGTGACCCGGGCCTGGGGTCCAGCGGGCGCCTGGCAGTGCTCACAGGCCGGCCCGCGGGTGGGTGATCGGTGCCCCAGCTCTGCCCAGAAGGCTGCAGAAGATGGAGCCAGCCCCAAACTTCTCGAGGCCCCAGGGAGCGGACCCGCTCCAGATGGGATGGAGCTGAGGGACGAGGATTCCTACCCCGAACCCCAAACTCCCAGAACACCTGCAGGACACCAGGGGCCTTGGGCGAGGAGGGCGCAGGGGGCGGCGAGGCATCTTCCTGGCGGCCCCCCGTCTCCGCCAAATCAGAGCTGCCGCGGGGCCCCAGAGCTCCTGCCCCGAACGCGCCTGGAAGGATTTAAAAACAGCAGCTCCCGGGCCTGGTGTCAATTCACGCCCACGAGAGCCCCGTGGGATGAGAGCTTTCTTATCCCCGTTTTGCAGATGAGAAATAAATTATTCTGTATATAGTGTCTCACTTTTCAATATCAAAAGTGTTTTGAACTATTCAGTACCCAAGCATTTTCCTAGAAATATGAATTAAGCTCCTCACCTTGTTCTTGGAAAACATGTATTTATTTTTCTGATAACAGTAATGATAATTATAGTATTTCACAGTTATATAGAACCATTTAGCTGGAGAATTTACAAGAGCTTTGAGTATATATTATAGAGTGTTTTTTGTCTATATCTAAGTGGGAGTATTGGAAGTAGTGTTTTTAACATTTAAATGTTATTATTTAAATTCCA